AAGTGACTGTTAATATTTTGAATGTTATCCTTTGGGCTATTGGAAGCCAGTGTAGGGATTGGCAGAGGGGGGTTGCAAACACTGAGCGGTTCGTCAGGTGGATGAGTCTAGCAGGTGCATTCATGATAGACTGAAGGGGGGATAGCCTGTGTAGAGGTAGGCCAATGAGGAGGGAGTTGCAATAGTCAAGGTGAGATATAACAAGCGAGTGGATGAGTAATTTAACGGTTTCATTAGTGAGGAAGGGGCGTATTTTGGAGCTGTTACGAAGGTGAAGGCGGCAGAATTTGGATAGTGATTGGATGTGGAGAAGACAGGTGAGGTCCGAGTCAAAGATGCTCATTAGCCCTTCAGCTAATTAAGTAACAAACACATCAGCTAATTTTCTGCAAACAAAAACCTGATTCATTCATGGACTCAACATTCCCACTAGTATAATATGATATGTAAAGGTCACCATGCACCAAACATAATACTACTATATTACCGTATTTTGTGTGTGATCAGAGCCGCCTCTCTGAGCAGTGTCAGCATGTGGGGGGTTTACGTGCATGCAGAGCTGAATTTGCCAGGGAGCAGAGGAGCGGCAGGTAAGTTCCCGCCCCCCGTCTCCATCAGGAAGTTCTTGCTCACTCTCCCCCGCAAATCCACACCCCCTCCCTGCCGGCTACCTTTCACGCCGCCGGACAGCCGCAAATCCTCTCCGGATGGAGTAGACAGTGAGGGGTGAGCTGCACTCGCAGCCCTTCCTCTCAGCTATCACAAGAGTTGTAGCTTTAGTTAGACACGGGCAACAACCTAGGTGCGTCTTATGGTCAGGTGCGTCTAATGGAGCAAAAAATATGGTAATTACATTTTATTTTTTAAAATCCAATGAAGAAAAAGAATGAAAAAGCATATACAAACACATCACCCAACAATTACATAAAATGTATCCCTCCGGTCCACCTGCTTGAGTCTTCAAAAACAAAAGTGACCACAATAACAAACATGGCAGGTTTACTTTAATTGGTATATCTGCAAAAAATAAGTCAAGGCAACTGTACTTGCTGTATTTTTCTTGAAGATGTTTCACTAGTCATCCAACCAGCTTTTTCTCAATTTAGAATAACTTGTACAAAAATTATCTGGGAAAAAATATGGTGAATGTTGCTCCAATCACATAATCTGTTAGTCGCAACCAGGAGTTGATTGCATTTGCATAATTGGAGCTAGGAGGTGTTAATAACTTGCCCAGAGAGAGGTGTTAAAACAGCATTGTATGGAGACTTCCGGTTCCGGCGCCTACAGAGCAAGTCGCATATGTGAGGAGCTCCGGACCCTCGAGACTACAAAATCTGCATTTCACATCGGCCAGAGTTGTCACTGAACCACCACACAAACCGTGGTTTGTCGCCCCAACTAAAGACATCATATGGATCGGTTCGTTGACCGATCTCGAGGCTTGCCTCAATCGGAATCCCGACCTGAAAAAAATAGCGCGCTAAATCTCACGGAAGCCATGGAGGCCTCTCAACCGACCTCGCCAACAGACATGGTGGAAGATTCGCTGCCAGAATCTGAATCGTCCATTGACTCAGCGAAAATAGCCGCGGCAGTGGCCAGGCTCCTGAAGCCTACTATTCAGGCATCGGTCCAAGCTGCAGTAGACTCGGCGGTCACTAAAGGCATTCAATCTCTACGCCATGAATTACTGGCACAGGCCCACCGAGTCACAGAGGTGGAACACAGAGTTTCCACTCTGGAAGACGAACTGACATCTGCCACAAAGAGCCTGAAGGAGCTTGCCAAGCAACACCAATTGACCTCAGCTAAGCTGGAGGACCTTGAAAACCGATCCAGGCGGAACAACTTGCGCATTGTGGGCCTTCCCGAATCGTACTTACCAGCTGACCTACATAACATCTGCTCCCATCTTCTTCCTGAGGCGCTGGGCCTCAATCGTGATTGCATAGTGGAGAGGGTGCATCGCCTGGGCTCACAACAACAGAAATATTCTCGTCCCTACCCGGTGATCATGAAATATCTATCGTATGTGGATAAAACGGACATCCTAAAAACTTACCGGAATGGCTCGAGCTTACGTTTCCAAGGTAACGACCTCGTGCTCTTCGCTGACTACTCGGCTGAGGTCAGTCGCAAACGGAAGGCCTTCTCGGAAATCTGCAATTTGCTCCACCATCTGAAGATCCGTTTTTCCTTAGTTTACCCGGCGGTCCTGAATATCCAGTCTTCGGATGGAACCCGACACACCTTCACGTCGCCGCAAGATGCCATGTCATTCCTTGAACCAACTGCGGCAGCCGGCCCTGACCAACGATCACACTCCGGGAGTAAGCGGCAACGTAGATCATCTCCACCTCCATCCTCCATGCCCGGCGAGTCCACTTGAAGTGATCGAGGCATCAGGAGCTACACGATGGGATGCCCCTCTGCCGAATATGGCGGTTTATCTACACGACAACTTACCTGAGATACAACAGATTTGTTTGACCCAGACACCCATCACCCTCTCACGTTCCCTGAATTACAACGGAAATTCAACATTCCGCCCAATCAATATTGTCAACATATTCAATTGACCCATTATTGGCAAAGTGAAACAACAATACCCAGCACTTTTTTCCAAATTACGGAAATAGATAAGGCCTCATCTACTGCCCCTGGATCAATTTCTAAATTATACCCCCTACTAAATTCTTACTTTGTCCCTAGATCAGCCAGAACTTCCCTCATTAAATGGAGAAAAGATTTCCCGTTGGAAGAGTTTGAGAATGCTATGTTGGAGGGATGCCAGAATATCAGGCGCTGGACGCCGAATGAACAGTGGAGGGAGAGTCACTTCCGAATTGTTCATAAAGCCTATTATGCCTTCGATTTCTTTTTTAAAATTAGAGCTCCGAGCCCATACTTAAGAGCATGTCCAAAATGTACCCTGGAGGGGGCCTCCCTCCGACATTGTCTCTGGGAATGTCCCCATATTGTTAACTTCTGGGACTCCATCATGTCTTATTTGTCAGACATGTTAGACATCCCCCTGACGCGAGAGCCCTGGCTATGTCTTTTCAGTTATTGGAAACCAGAACCTGCCCCAAGTAGACAGAAACAGCAATTAATATTTGTGGCCTTACTGCTGGCAAAGCGAATAATAATGCATGAATGGCTATCCACGCAGCCACCTTCATCTCAACACTTTGTGGCAGCACTAACGTCACTGATGTGGAAAGAAAGGCTTGAAGCCACTCTCGACCCTGATAAATATTCCATCACTTTTGTCAAGAAATGGGAATCTTTCATATTACACAATTACGCAGGATTGCAGTTACACGCTCTAATTTATCCCTTCAGACTTACACAGTGGTACCTAGAAAGGAAATTAGATAAAGCCTTGGGGCGACTGGAGATCCCTGATGATTATGACCCAGGCTAGTACAGACAATACTAGAGTTTTACCTCTTACATGGAGATGTGATAGTAGAAGGGGACCCGCTCAGGGAACGAGCTATTGCTTTCTTCCAGACATTGTACGATTTTATAAGCTGCACTTATTCTGTATTCTCTGTTTATTTTTGTCTTTTGTATGTGGCAGACAATAGATGTCTCACCCTCACACCTCTATTCAAGCATGGCTTCACCATTTTTACATAAATGGCCTCTTTCACACCTCTTGTAAACCAGTCCTCCTCCCTGACTAGGATGCATACTTGACTGTCTTGAAAGGAGTGACCTTTTTCCTTTAGATGTAGGTACACTGCTGAATCCTGACCAGAGGGTTTGGCCCTTCTATGCTGTGCCATACGCTGGTGCAGCTGCTGTTTTGTTTCACCAACATACAATTCTGAGCACTCCTTAGTTTGATGACCAGTGAACCGTCTTCAAGAAAAATACAGCAAGTCCAGTTGCCTTGACTTATTTCTACAGATATACCAAGAACTAGATAAATGAGAACCTTCACAGACATACTTTAACCACCTCGCATCCATGGCCATTCCAAAACCTTCGGACGGGAGCCTTATAGGAGCGTGAGGGCGTCTTAAGACGTCCTGCCCTTCCCCCCATTATTTATAAATAATTCACAAATGCACTGTGAAATTTCATGTACATTCCTTTTCTGCAAATGGAAGCAAAAATGAATGCTATTAGCATAGTTTCTTTCCAGATCAAAAGTCATTTCAGATAAATACCGCATTGCGGCCAGTAGGTGGAGCTGAGGAACATAAAACATACTTCTTTCCTATGCTTCTCAGCTGCATCTAGTGGCCATAACACGGTATTCACCTGAAATTATATTCCATGTAGAAAGAAAATATGCTAATAACATCCGGCTATTCACTTACTGCCATTCAGTCCCTATGAGAACAGGGGTGAACGGCAGCGAGCGAGCTGCCGGAGCTTCGGCTCAGCCGATCCAGATGTTGGATCAGCTGAGTCGAAGTCCTTCTGCACTTCGGCTCAGCCGAACATGCACGGCATGTTCGGCTGACCGAAAGCAGCCAATGTACGGCTGATTTTAGCTGATGTACGGCTTCAATCAGCCGTACAAGACTGAAGTAAATAGCAGAATAGCATTCGGCTTACTTCAATTTGGCTGGGTTATTCATAGTTAGTCAGGTTGAAAAAAGACACAAGTCAATCGAGTTCAACCTATAGAGATATGGGGGAAAAAAGAAGAAAAGCCTAAGCAGAACGCTATGCCCCCAATTACCCACTGTTGATCCAGAGGAATGGCAAAAAAACGCTTTAAAGCATGGTTCAATTTGCTACAACAGGAGAAAAAATCCTTCCTGATCCCATAAGGCAATCGGATATTCCCTAAGTTCAATAGTGAATAACGTGCCCTTTAAACATGACATCTGTGTAGCTCCAGCTCTCTCTACTGAATGAATTAACATTCTACCAGATACTACACCGCTCAGTATAGAATATGACAGGCTGACCAATCAAGCCAACGGATTGTGATGACGTCACGTCAGTCCCCTGAAACCCACCTCCCCCCCCCCACGCTGCTCAGACCCCAGACGGCGCATTAGCGGGGTCCACACATGCGCACTACCACACAGAAGCCTCGGGGACGCGCACTAGTGCGAGCGGGTTGTTGCACGTTCGTAGCGGTTTGCACTCTTTTACACCACCGTGCAGAGCAGCGGCTCGTATTGGTGCGAATCTCTCCTCCAGCACTTGCTTAGTCTCAACGGCAGGGCGCGCGAGAGAGCGGCGCCTCTTCTGTGAATTATTTACGACCCGTGCCGTATGCCAGCACCGATGTACGTCTCTGTGGTGTCTGCCGTAGAACCACAACAACAAAAGGAATTGTCGGTCCGCCGGCGTGACGTCATTACAGGAATACGGAAGAAGATCCTAAAAGGAGCTGCAGGCGAGATGGGGAAGAAACATAAGAAACACAAAGGCGACAAGCACGGCTATGAGGGCAAGGAGGAAGTGCGCTCAGTGGCGGAGAGTCGTGAGTTGTGTTTGATTGTGTTTTCTATGTTGTCTGTACTAATGTGTCATGATGTGTCCCTGGAGGAACTACACGTCCCAGCATGCTCCTGGGGGTGTCAGTATAGAGATCAGTGTACTGGGCTTCATATATCCACCATTCACTATAGAGATCGGTGTACTGTACATATATCCACCATTCATTATAGAGATCGGTGTACTGTACATGGTATACCCACCATTCACCATAGAGATCGGTGTACTGTACATATAGTCACCATTCACTATAGAGATCGGTGTACTGGATTTCATATATCCACCATTCACTATAGAGATTGGTGGACTGGATTTCATATATCCGCCATTCACTATAGAGATCGGTGGACTGGATTTCATATATCCGCCATGCACTATAGAGATCGGTGGACTGGACATCATATATCCACCGTTCACTATAGAGATCGGTGGACTGGACTTCATATATCCACCATTCACTATAGAGATCGGTGGACTGGACTTCATGTATCCACCATAGAGATCTGTGTACAGTACATCGTATATTCACCATAGAGATCGGTGTACTGTACATCGTATATTCCCCATTCATTATAGAGATCAGTGTGCTGGACTTCATATATCCACCATTCACTATAGAGATTGGTGTACACCTTGCATTTTCCCTTACTCTCTTTCTGGGTGACAATGAAAACCATTGTAAATAGAGGGGCTATCCTCCCGCCAGTGAGTTGGTGGGGACTGGTTTTGTTGGCCAAGGGCTCGTTCACTCTGGCCCGTATGCTAAAATGCTCAGTTTTAGCCTGTGGCTAGCGTGGTGTGACCGCTCCAAACGTACAAACTATACACTCCATTCAGGGCTCTGCAGTTCAGCACAGTGCACAGCATATGTTTACATGGAGCACATAGCGCAAGCTTTGTCAAAGCTCTTTCCACAGTGGTGTTTGTATATTTGACATATGGCCTTTAACACTGCTTTGATACAGGTAGTGCTATTGTAAATCAATGTTTATGTTACACTAATGGTAAGAAAGCACTTGTCTTGGGTCTGTGAACAAATCTCACACTTAGTATTGGACAATGACATATGCTTGTGTATGGTCAATGTAAGTCCCTCCGCACATTGCTTCAGTAAGTGCTAAACCTGCACATGTCCTGGTCACATAGTAAACTGGGTGAACGGTGGGAATGGGAGGCATCTGCTTTTTATTTAGAAATGCAGACATCCAACTGATATATGTATATATGTTTTTTTTACAGGCAAAGGGGGACATTCTGAGAAGAAAAAAGAAAAAAGTAAGGAAAATATTTTGGTGGAAATTGCAATGTATTTATGAAGCGTTTTTCACTGATAACATATTAATGGGGAATTTATCAAATTCTGGAGCAGATTTGCACTGCAACCAATCAGCTTCTCTGTCTCATTTTCAAATCTTACCTGAGCAAACTGAAAAGAGATGCTGATTGGTTGCCATGGGCAACTGCTACAGATTGTGTCTGCTCACGCTTTGATAAATTCCCACCCATTGAGAGAAAGAGATTCACTTTTATTTGCAAGCCTTTGGTGCTATACACTCGACCCCATCTGGTTTCTCTGCGCCTTACTAAGTTTCTAATGATGTTGTCTTTAGCCCAGTTTTAATAATGACATTTGAATGCTTATTGTTGCTTCTCAGCAGTTAATTGGTATCTATTAGTTATATGAAATCTGTGCCAGTTGCTAGTTTTCAGAAAGAATGTTTATATTTTGCTTAAACAGCAGCATGCTTTCTTCTCAGAATATGTGGAAAAACCGTTAAAACTTGTCCTCAAAGTTGGGACTGGAGAGGTGAAGGAGCTGTCCACAGCCCGGGCTACAGCTCTTCCACAAGGCTTCCATGAAGACAAGACAGACCATGATAAACACAAAGACAAGAAGAAGAAGAAAAAGAAGAAGAATGAGAAAACAATCGGGCCTGGTGAGGAAAAAAAGAAGAAAAAGGTGGGTATTAGATCACTAGGGGGTGTCAATTAGGGCTGCAACAACTAATCGATTATGAGAATAGTTGGCAACTATTCTCATTATTGGATTAGTTGGTTGCGGGAGATAGCATTTTTTTTTTTATGCAACCAATTGATTAGTTGAAAAAATAATTGGGCAACTAATTGATTATAAAAATTTATGTTAGCTGCAGCCCTAGTGTCAATGTGGATGAACAATTTTTGATTCAGTGGCCCAATAGGTCACAGAGAACACATGTACTTATAATTTGAAGTATAGCTTTCACATGTGTGTCACAAGGAAAACAACTTAATCTTATTGCATAAATGGCACCTTTTTGGTGGCAATTCACCATAGAAGTACAACCCCAATTCCAAAAAAGTTGGGACACTGTGTAAAATCTACATAAAAACAGAATGCAATGATTTGTAAATCTCATAAACCTGTATTTTATTCACACTGGAAAATAGAAAACATATCAAATGTTTAAACTGAGAAAATGTACAATTTTCAGAAACAAATGTCATTTTAAAATTGATGGCAGCAACACGTCTCCGAAAAGTTGGGACGGGACCATGTTTACCACGGTATAACATCCCCTCTGCTTTTAACAAGGCTCTGTAAAGATCTGGAACTGAGGAGACCAGTTGCTGGAGTTTTGGGAGAGGAATGTTCTTCCATTCTTGCCTGATATAGGATTCTAACTGCTCAACAGTCCTGGGTCTTCTTTGTCGCATTTTTCATCTCAAGATGCGCCCAATATTTTCAATTGGTGAAAGGTCTGGACTGCAGGCAAGCCAGTTAAGCACCCGGACTCTTCTTTTATGAAGCCATGCTGTTGTCACAGATGCGTGGCTTTTGAACTGAGCGCTGATAGCACTTTGGAAGGTCCCTCTCCTTAGTTTGGAGGATGCGGTACCCATGGTTGCTAAAAAGAGTTATCACATTTCAATTTGTCTAACCTCAGAACAGTTTTCCTGTTCAGACATGGCTTCTTCTTTGCATGATGAGCTTTAACTTGCATTTTTGGATGACACGGCAAACTGTTCACAGGCAGTGATTTTTGGAAATATTTCTGAGCCCGTGCAGTGATGTCCATCATAGGATCATGACTGTTTTTAATGCAGTGCTGCCTGAAGCCTCGAAGAATACTGGCATCCAATACTGCGTTTCGGCCCTGTCCATTGTGCACAGAGATTTCTCCAGATTCTCTGAATCCTTTGACGATATGCACTGTGGATGATGATATATTTAATCGCTTTCCAATTATACTTTGAAGAATATTATTCTGAAATTGTTCGACAATTTTTAGACGCAACTTTTCACAGATTGGTAAACCTCTGCCCATCTTTACTTCTGAGACACTCTGACTCTCTAAGATGCTCTTTTTATACCCGATCATATTACTGACCTGTTGTCAATAAACCTAATTAGTTGCAAAATGTTCTTCCAGCTCTTCCTTGTTAGTACCAGTTACTTTGCCAGTTTTTTGTTGCCCTCCCAACTTTTTTGAGACGTGTTGCTGCCATCAATTTCAAAATTTAACTTTTTTTTTTTTTTTTTTAAATGGTACATTTTATAGGTTTTCTAAAATTTGGCTTTATGAGATTTGCAAATCATTGCACTCTGTTTTTATGAAGATTTTACACAGCGTCCCAACTTTTTTGGAATTGGGGTTGTACTCAAACACTTAACTGTCATATACCACATGTACCTTTGATGATGTATAATGCCATGTCTGGATTCTGTCTGCACTTCGGTTCCCAAGCAATGTGAAACTGACTGCTATTATCGGTGACACTATGCAACTTGTGGGGCATACAAACATGTAGAGTGATACACAGTGTGCTTTCTTTCATATAACTTTTTATGCAGATTTCCGAATTTGAAGACCGTTTGAGCTGGCTGTATATCAGAAGGACTGCCTGAAATGATCCCAGCAAGGGAAAAATATGAAATGTTATACTTGAAAACCTCCTTGACCTACCTGAATGTACTGGAGGCACTTCAGCATTTTCACACTACTTATTCTTTGCAGGGGTGTGGAAATCGTATCGCCCGACGCCCGGGACATGCAGTTTCGGGCGCCGGGCAGGTAGTTTCCTCAGTAGTTTAGCCCTGCTGCGGGCAAGTAGCAGGGCTGAGATGTTTTTTTTTTGTTTTTTTTATTACCGGTGCGAGAGCAGGGGACGCGGGTCAGCAATGGAGCCGCGACAAGAGAGCTGGGGGCGTGGAGCAGCCGCGATGACATAGCTGGGGCCGTGGAGCGGCGGTGACCGGGTATAGAGCGGTGATGCAGCCGCGTGACAGAGCAGGGGGACGTGGAGTAGTGACGGCGTGGAGAAAAGATGAAGCGGTGACAGAGCCTGAGGGGTGGAGCGATGAAAGGTTTTGACCGGACCGCAGGCATAATTGTGCCTTGCGATCCCGTGGGTCCGATTGCCTGCGGCTACGGTGCCATTCACTTCAGTGGATCGTCCTGCCCCCAATTATGGTGAGCCGGCCGCAATGCGATTGTTTCAAACTTTATCATACCTGGGATGTCTACTGGACTCTTGTTTGGACAGATTTAGGTGAGTTATTCCTAGGATTTACTAAGAACTACAGGCCTACAATGTAAAACAACATATTTGCTTGAAAAACAATGTACCGCTTTTGGTACCTAAAATCCTGAATAATCATACCGCCAGGGAGGTTAATGTGGCCACAGCAATTGCTTTAGTGCACACCCTTGCTCTTAGCACATTACTGAGATGCCCTAACTGCTATTGGAACACTGTTCTTCATAGGTTGTTACTAGGGATGCATCGATACCTTGTACTCGCCCAAATGCACCTGATGCTTATCCGGATACCAGAACTTCAGGTATCAGGAAGCATGGGTGGAAAATCATTACACATTGCCCGGCTTCCTGATTGGCCAGGAAGTCGCCTCCATGTCACCTGGTGATGAGGGAGCAGGGAGCCAGCTTCCCTGCTAATCAGGAAGCCGGGTGTCGTGTAAGGCTTCCCTAATGGGACTTCTGGTATCGGTGTGTGGTATCTGAGAGTACTGGAAGAAAAAAAACAGTACTCACTAAATACCGGTATTTATGTTTAAGTATTTTATGGCTTTTATTTTTTTTGTAAAGAGGACACAACTGTGTCATTTAGTTATAATGCAACTGTATGGGTAAATGCTTGTAGCTCTGCCTTATTGCCAAGGGAGTGTTACCATACAACAAATATTTATTTTGTCTTATGATATTTTGTGTTGGAGTTTTAAAAATTAGAAATTGGCATTTTCGTCCAGACTTCTGTCCCTTACTGATAGGAAAAATGTAAAATCGAATGACTGCTCTGTAATATCTGCTACGGCAGCTCCAGTAGTGAGAAAGTACAGCTGAAAGCAGGGACCGGGAAATGTACATATGCTTCAAGTAAAACCAAATCTAATAATAGAAACATCAGGAGTGTGCGATCCGTGACTGCCCGGCCATTGTGCATGAAACCGAGCGGATGGATGGGTGGTCACGGAATCGCACACCACCGCCATTGTGCTGTCAGTGCCATTATTTTCTAATGGCACCCCAGTCCTGCCAGGCAGATTGCGCGTTTTCCTGCTGCAATACCGCCTGGGCAATCCCACATGATCACGGTTAAAAACACTGCGCGGTGCATGTTATGAAAATAGGTACATCTACCTTTTTTTTCAGCGATTGCCACGCAGATGTAACCCCCATACATGCGGATGCAACTGCAGTATGCCAACGCACGTCCTGGGAATCCCCAGTCTGCACCAACCCTAAAGGGTAAATTCTCTTTCCCAAGTAATTTGGGAAAATGGAATTACCCGCACAAATCTCCCTCCCACTATACTTACCTTTCGGCGAATGGTCCTTCTCGTCCACCAGTACGGGTGTACCTGTTCCATGTATTCTGAATTTCGCTTGCAAATTGCAAGCACTCGTTGGTCAACGCAGTCACTTGACGGCACTGACCAATGAGAAGTGCTTCTTAGCACTGCTAAATACGGTTTTGGTTAAAAAACATTTTTTTGTATCGGGACAAGTAGATTGTCATGAGGGACAAGTAGATTCGGCCCCCACTTTAGTCCTTGGACAAGTAGTTTTTTCTAAAATTTCCACACCCCTGCTTTGGTATAATTTTTGGTATGATCGGGCATCTGCAATGAACATGTGATTCTTTCAAGTCTTCTAGAGAAAATATAATTAGGCATTCAGTTCAGTTTGTATCCTGAGAGGGATACAATTTTTTATTTTGTGGCAAAATCCCAAAACAAAAATAACAGCTTATTTTGATTTTGATTGTCTGTTCCTAGGATGATAAGAAGAAGAAAGATAAAAGTCATCGTGAAAGTGACCCAGATAATGAACATTCACTCCATTCACCGCTTAGACCTGATTTACCAGCAGTATCTCTTCCAGATTCTTCCTTACTGAAGCCTGAAGGTAAAGAAAAATCAACAATAGCATACTACTCATAAAACATTTCGTTCTTTATAAAGTTATATTTTTCTGGCAACAGAAGACAATTATCTGAGTATATGTAGCCTATTGAGGTGTTTGTGGTTTGCCGTATCTCCGGTGGATCACGTGAGGCTGATACCTATTTTCTAGGCAAACTGCGATTTAGCCATTACCCGTTTGTCCAGTTCATAAAGCCAAGCAGATACTGACATAGCTTATCACGATTCACCACAATCCACAGTGCACCACAATAAATGTACTAATTGCAGCTTAAAATCGTATCTTTTGGAAGTACATACCTGATAACAATAAAACCCGAAAACAAACAAAGCGCCCCGTGTGCTTTAACAGAGGAAAAGTGTTAGGAATTTTCAGTGAGCATATATTTAAAGGACAGTTTTTACCTTTTATCGAAGCTGTCCTTTAACCCCCCCCCCCCCCCCCCCCCCCCACCATCCTGAGTGCAGCCAGCCTATTACCATAACTTCAGTCCTATTCCAGCAAAATTTGCTGTTTGGCTTTGCCCGGCACCAAACAGCCTTTGCAAAGAAAACAGCTGGATCCTCTTCATACTTCAAGTCATTTCTGATTATTTTTGTTCTTTTACTGTTTAAAGTATATCTATCCCTAATAACAAAAAATGTATTACAGCTTACCAGTCCTTAGATGTGCTGGTTGCAGTAGTTTTAATTTTTCAGGCTAACATCTTTTTCTGCAAGTACAGAATCAAAACACGTTGATCTTGCAAATCAATTTTAATTACAGTGTCCATGTTACTGCTTGTGACCTATAATGATAAACTAGGTTATTCACAAAAGGGTGAAACGGTTGGAGAAGGCAAAAGTGCACAATCTAGGACAACATGGCTGAACTGGAAAGTGAGCTGAATTGGAGAATTTTCCCAAATCAGCTATTTTGGCCTAGATTGTTCACTTCTCCTGCCTTCTCCAAACTCTTCACCCTTTTGTGAATACCCCTCTGTGTTTCTAAAAACATTAGCACACATGGATAGCAATGTTTACATTAACGCCTCATTCACACAACGCAAGCAAAATTGTATATTGCGTATATACGCGTCTATGCACATATATACGAGCGTATATGCCGTTATATACGAGCGTCTATGCGCGTATATGCGTGCACTATATGCAATCCCAGAATGCATCACTCGTAATGGAATTTTTAATGTGCTGTGCGCGCGTATATATGCATGTAAACACGCGTATGTGCGAGTAAATACGCTGCCCGGACGTGTCTCTGTTCCATTCTGTTTTTGTGCATATATACGCTACGCAAATATACGGCTCCATACGCGGCTATGTGTATGGAGCCATTTATTTGCATATGGTACAATACGCACGCACGTACGCGCGGCAGTGTGAATGAGGCCTAACCGCATAGCTAAAAAAAAAATAATTTAAAGGACTGTACCTGACCTTTTTGGCCTAAATTTGACATTCTGTGTAAAATAGACCTTAAGCAGAGCAAGAAAAAAGCATCGCAATATGGGTCTTTCCTATACATCTTGCAATGTTCATCTAGTTGGAGCTGTCTTTTTACATTCTTATCGTCAGAATAAAAAACACATGTTCCATTTGCATTATGGTTTTAAAACCTTTTTTTCACAATTTTGTTTCTAGCTTTGTGCTGTGATCAGTACTAGAAGAAGAAAAGGTGGGATTGAAAGTAGAGTGCAAGCTGAAAGAACTCCCCTTGCAGTGGGACTACCTTCACACTGTAAGGGTTAATTGCTCGTTTGTACCTAGAGTACCTGTGTAAAGCACTTTTTCTTACTTGATCCATGATTTCCCTGGCTCCAAGATCAGTGCCGTATCCTACCACACCCCCCCCCCCCCCTTACCACTCTAGCAGTCAGAGGCCAGATAATGTCAGCTTGTCTAATGCAGGGCCCATAGCCCTGCATTATACATGAGGATGCAGAGGTACAGTATATGAACCGGAGCATAGGGGAGAGAGTTGAGCAGCAACTGCCAGGGGAACGGTGATCAGGTAAGCAAAATACCTTTTACCTTAGCTATAACAAGCAGTTAACTCTTGTAATGCAAGGATGACCCCACTGCAAGAGGAGTTTTTTGGTATTTTGGAGATAGGCTTTAAATACTGTTTAAAAGCTTTAAATACTGTTTAAAAGAAGTGGGGATGCACAGATACTTTTCGAGTACCAGTACCGATAGTTGGCAGTTTCATGAGAAGTACCAGGTTTGCAGTGGTTGCAGCTGGGACCTGGCTCTGGCACTCCACCACTGTCCTGAAATCATTAGTCTGTATTGTTTTAGAAAAACTGTCACATGACAATAAACAAAAATGTATCAGTACTCGTACTTGTAAGTACTCGGCAAGTACCAGTACTTGTACTCGCAAAACTGGTATCTGTGCATCCCTTTATTTATATTTATAAAAACAAAATCGTACATTAAAACAGAGATGTACAAATCCCAGGAGCTCCGTGTGCTCCTTACAAATGACAGCTGCCTCCTAATTTTTGAATTTTTCTCTAGTGCAGTCTTGGAGCTCAAAAGTATCGGTACATGTACTCGTACTTGTACCGAGTACTGTACTTGGTATCTGTGCAACCCTAAAAAGAAGTATAAACTGATTAATGGAAAAGATATATATGTTTTGTTTTGTTTTTTTTTGCTATTTGTAAATCGTCTGTGTGTGTCTGGAAGCCATTTTTGTTCATTAGATGCAGGCACTTCTACATAGTGCTATATGAAAATAAAGATTTGGGGATCAACACTGCGTGCACGTTTGATACACTGTTGGTGTGGAAGAACTTTTTTGGTAGCTGGTAATTTGCTGCTCAATATTACACTGATCAGTTGATTTTGAACATTGATTTATGTCATCACTATTTATTTGCACATACAGTATATTTATATATGGTTGTTATGTTTATTTAACTTATATTCGTGATGGATTTTAATTTAGAGCACTAATGCTTCTCTTCCTAAATAAAATTCATTTAGTCAGGTATGAATTAATAACATTGTGCCATATGGTGGCTGCAGTAGTTTGTAACATTACAGCATGCATGTCTTTGGCAGACACTGATAACACTGCATCGAGTGGATAATGCATTTCAGGTATGGAGCCACAGAAAAAGGTCACAAATGTGTTCACGGTAGTAGGCATGGGTCATAAAGTGGAAGTCTCAATAACTAGCAGGCCCATGACTGTCAAACCTACTGTAACATTAGGTACAAATTGTGCTCTAGAAAATATCTTAATACCTTTTTAGTGCTGCTGACCGGTGGACGGCTTACATTTACAGCAGCATTACCAACTATGTAGTACTCCCCATTTTTGCTGTTGCTCAGTGGTATGCACACTCTGTAATCATTGTAAGGCGCTTTGCTTTTAATTAGTGGTAAATTCAGACTCTAGTCACGGTAATGTTCTTTACTTAGTAATATAAAAATGCATAGAAAACCATAAATGTGGTATTTACCACACAGTTTAGAGTATATCTGTACTGGAACCACACACCTTAAAGTGTAATTTTTTTTTTTTTGTCGTGTAGAAAACCAGACTCCACTGCAAGAGGCATTGAATCAGCTTATCAGACAGCTGCAAAGGTAAAGTGCTACAAAAACAGTCCAATTTATGATTTGCCTAGTGCAGATCGAATTTGCAAGGACACTGCTGCTACATTGTGGTATGGATACAATATTCACTGTGAACGTGTATTCCCAAAAGAAGGTGACATACATTTAGGCCTCATTCACACTGCTCAGATTCGGCCCGTACAGATCCGTGCGCCGTATCGGGCCGTTCCCAGAAAGGACAGTTGCTACATGTGATTGTACGCAGCAGCCTGTTCTTCTCTGTGGGAGGACGTGGCTGTACGCTCATGCAAGCTGCACATCTGTGCGGGTGTCCGTACTCTAACGTAGACGGGATGGATCCTGTGTGCGTCCAAGCATGGATACCCGCACGGATGTGCAGTTCGGGTGAGCGTACGGCGGCGTCCTCCCGTAAGGATGAACAGGCTGCTGTATCAATCACACGCAGCACCTGTCCTTCCCAGGAATGGCCCGATACGGCCGTGCACGCTACACGGATCTGTATGGGCCGACTCTTAGCTGTGTGAATGAGGCCTTAAAAGGTACTTACCAGTGATATGGGGGAGCCACCACAAAAAACACCCAATATTGAGATTTGTTCTACTTTTTTTTTTTTTAGGTTTTGTTTGGCTATTTCATGGCTTATGTGAATACCATAAAGATTTGGGACCTGATGCACTAAATTTTCTTAAACTAGGTGTTGCTTGAGAAATCACATTTGCACAAGATCACTTTGGGATTTATTTATAAATGTTTTTACCCAAGAGTCACACAATGTTCATTTTGGATTTGCAGTGTACAAAGTCTAGTACCTAATAATATAGCAGGTAGTCGAAATCATATTTCTTTTCCGTTCATTGAAGGACCCAGCAGAGATCTTGAATCTCTGACCCTTGGGTTATAGTGCCGCATTCAGAAGTAGGACACTAGGCACAGGAACCGAAGCACAGCCTATGGGCAACCGCTGATGGTGGCCAAAGCCCATCTGCTAGAGGCAGCCAGGTTTTGCACCTAGTGTCCACAAGATAGTCGGAATTCACATTTTACTGATTACACTACAGTGTCTAAATTATGGTTTCTAATGGTTACACAACGTCTTTATTCTTTGTATTAACACGTATGGAAACTTACTCTAATTATTGTGTGTATTTAATATGTGTATGTCTTTATTTTCTTTACACAGAAAGGATCCTAGCTCTTTTTTTGCATTCCCTGTCACAGATTTTATTGCTCCTGGTTACTCAATGATTATTAAAAACCCAATGGACTTCAGTACTATAAAGGAAAAGATTAAGAACGATACATATGATTCAATAGAAGAACTTAAGGTATGGGAAGGTCAGACTACATAAAGGTGACGCAGTGCTATGGCTGTAGTGAACCCCAGCATTATGTTTAAAACATGAAGGACTACAATAGAAGCTTCTAATGCTTGGAGTAAACCATGAGCAAATCTGGCCCAGGTTCATTTCACCTCTTTTTACATTTCAGTTAATTAGACCTTCGTGTCTACTTTGTAACAGAAAATTGAGGTAACTTTCTGCAGTTGAATAGGGAGTAAAAGTTGAACTGAAATCTGTTGCAGTGAAAGGCGTAGTGTTTGTTGGCATATTAAGGCTAGGTTCACACCTAAGCGACCCCTCACCGCGTGGCAATCGTGTGAACAGATTGCGCTGTGGGTGCCATTTTTTTCTAATGGCACGCCAGGCCAGGCGGATCACGCGGTTTCCCGACGCAATTCCGTACAGTAAGTGCTTTGCATGCTGCTAACTGTGGAACATGGATTATAGCAAAAATCTTCTCTTCAGTTAAAGGAGAACTATGAGGTGAATGAAAATCACTCAGCCTTATAGTTCGAGCCGACGTGTGAAACTGTCACACGCCAGCTCAATAGATCGGGAAGTGAGCGAACACATACCGTTGCTTGCTCACTTCTCGATCATGTCCATGTTCCCCCCTCCCCTGTCCGATACTCCAGCGCTGACTGGCGGGAGGGGACGGGTACAGCTGGCTCTGCCTCTAGTTAGGCAGAGCCAGCTGTCAATTACGCAGCTGGGTGGATTTCAACAGTAATGTCGGGATCCGTCCCGGCTGCGGCGCTCTCCGTATACCGTAGCTGTATCTCGCGGTATACTGAAGTTTGGGTCATGGGAGGACGCTAGTTTGTGTCCCCCCGTGACCCTGGGGAGGACTATGGGGAAAAACCACTTACCCCCATAGTTCTCCTTTTAAGCTTTGAAAATTAAGCATAGAAGCTGATTGGTTACTATGGGCAACTTCTCCAAATGATGTCTGCTCCAGTTTTAATAAATTCCCCTCAATGTATATTATAGGCAGCAGTCCTGTTTTGTTGCTCCTTGTTACCGCACTACAAACTCTATGTATTGATTTTATAAACTTTTTTTTTTTTTATAGGAAAACTTCAAACAAATTTGCCACAATGCCATGATTTACAACAAGCCTGGAACCATTTATTACAAGGCTGCCAAAAAGCTGCTGAACTCTGGAATGAAGATCCTTAGCCAGGTACAGACATTTCCTTTGCTTTTGCAGGACCTGTGAAATATTTTGTTTTGTCAGTGTTTTCAAAAAGATGTGCAGCTTTGGCTAAGAACTGTATTCAAATACCTGCTGCTTATTTGTTTAAAACATTTATTTATTATAAAGTTAAAGCAAACCTTTTAAAATAAAACTGAAACCAATCGTACGATAATCGTGCAGTGTATGGAAGGCGTGCGACCGTTTCTACTGTACGGTCGCACGTCTTCCGTCGAACCAGCATGCTAGAAGAGTTAGTGGCCTGCTGGTACGACAACTGCCGAACGGGCCGGTGTGTGCACGCGCACACTGCCCGTTTGCAGTCATCGTAAGCCCGCCCCTCATTACAGTCATCGGAAGCCCACCCCTCGGGGGCGGGCTTGCGATGATCGCAAGTACGATCTGCCAAGATGGGCAGATCGTACGTTTTTTTTAAGTACTTTACAACCTTCGCCAGACAAAGGTCTTGCGAGGGTTGTAAAGTGTATGGGTACCTTAACCCCTTCGTGACTGACGACGTACAGTGTACGTCGCCAGCATCGGGGCTGTTTAAACGGACTCCCGGCGACTTTTGCCGCCGGGACTCTGTTTAAACTTGTAGAGCCGAGCTTTACAACAGAAGCGATCCTGGCGACTTACCTGTCGCCAGATCGCTTCTGCGTCCCGAAGAAGGGACGTCCCGTCGGGTGCGCCTACGTATGAAAACGACGAACGCGCTACACATGTTGGGTATCGCCGCGCACGCCGGAGTGAGAGCAATAATTCTAGGGCCAGTATTTTGGGGTATCTCTAAATTGATGACCTGTGGGGGCTTTTAAAGCGTCTTCTATGGACTTTTTGGGGTACTGGGGTTTATCGCCGTTTTACGGATGCACGCAATTTGTAACCTGGGCATGTTGGGTATCGTTTTACTCGTTGTAACCTCATCTTTTATATTTAATTAAAAAAATGGGTATTTTGTTGTGTTTTGGGGCATTTAATTAAATTTTTCACTAAATATTGGGGTTTAATAAGGAGTTGCGCTAATATTGCGCAACATAAAAATTTGCAACTACCACCATTTTATTCTATAGGGTCTTGGCATTCAGAAAATATATAATGTTGGGGGG